GGGGGAGGAGGAGAGGAGAATTTCGGTTCCAGCTCCGTTCAGTTTTGTTGCAATGAGCCTAACTGTGGCTGTCGATTTGTTGAGGGCCCTGAAATTTCATCTTGTTTCCATAGGTGGCCTAGATCGATAGTGACGTGACTATTTGCTACAATCAAGAGATATTATCACAAGAGATTTTAAGGTGGAAGTCGGCAATTGTTTGCTGGGGCCGGGCCACTCCCATCCCCCCTAACCACCCCTCCACATTTTCCAACACCTGTACAAAGCACTTGTTGCCCTAGTAACCATCTATTCGACACACTCTGCTGACTGATTAATTGACTGACTTGATATGAAATGTTAGAGAAAGGAAGGGGAGGAAGGAGGGGGGGGGGAGGGGAAGAATACACTGGACTTCGATGTTTACACTAGCTACTCTTTTAAACCATTAATAGGATATTGGAAAGATTGATCAGATTCGAATTATCTGGATAATTTAGAAAATGTAGCACATAAACCGGGCTTGACATATGTCATTCTAGGGTTTAATCAACTTATCCTCTGCCTATGGGATTTTTTGAGAAGTCAATTGACATGGGTTCGATATTCAACAGCGAGGAACCAGTTAAGCTCAGCAGATTTGGTGATTCATATCATAGTGTATCAAAGTTGATGACCCTCATTTGCGGGTGTAATTATGAGTAAAAATGAGCATTCAATTAAACTTTCCAGATTGTATCTTCATTCAATATCTGTGGAATACGCCAATCACCTTAACTCAAGGAGTGGCGTCTAATTAACTTAAAATCGGAATCTGTTGTGGAGCTCAATACCAGATACGCGAGCGCGCGCACACACACACAAAGCGATTTTGGTGGTGCTGAGCTTGGAGATCGGCATATGTTCATGCCACCCCTTACGTGTAGAGGGGGGGAGGGAGGGGGGGGGGATAGGGAGGTGGGAGAATATTTAGAACCGAGAGATACCTCTTGAGCATATTTACTCACTTCTCCCCTTACTGTCATATGAAAGACCATCTGTTGTTGTCTACTGTATGCGCGCGCAAACCTTTATAAGTAATATTTGCCCCATTCAACAAAAAGATAGCAGGAGGAATAGATGGGGAAGATTCGTTGATCTCACCCTACCCGCCCCCTTCCCATCCCCCTCCCCCTCCTCCCACCAGTATGCTCAAAATCATTCACGAAATTCCGATGGCAGATGGTACAAGGACTTTTGTGAATGGTCTTTCGTTTACCCGTGTCCTGTTTTAGAGGCTGCATAAAGACTAGGATAAAATCAGATTCATGAGATTTAATTAACTAATTTAAGCACAAAATCGATAATGATTACATTGAAGTTGGGTCAAACTTGCTTCCACAGTTGGTAAATCTTCCTTTGGAAATTGGTTGAGGAATTTTGTGTCCAACTTAAAGACTGAACAGTGGCTTAATAGCACACTCCATTATTCAGTGAGACATTTATCAATCACATCATCGCATTACTTGGAGAGGTGTATGACCTCGATACTTGCAGGAGTTGCTTTAAACTACATGCTTCTTAATCATTCATAAGGCCTCAAAGTTGGAAGTTGCACTCAGATGTTTGGAAAGATAACGTCAATAGGGCATGTAATAAAAATATATTACTTTTAGGCGAGAAAGGATCGACAAGCACTTTTTCCAGGCATTTATTAAATTATCACACTTGTTTTGGCATAATAAACTCTATGGCCACTGTCTTACATGGGGTATAGAAACAGTCATGCCTTGAGACATTTCGATTGAATTCTATTCGACATGACTTGAGCCTTGAAAGTGATGTGACCAGTGTTGGTGAGTTGTAAAATCGGGGACTGATTTTTTATTTATTCCATGAATCCGTCCGAATTTTACTTGAAAGTTATTTATTTATATCAAATGGCAGGCGATTTGATGGTTATCATTAGCCCTTTAGTTCAATGGCAGGCATCTTGAAGGTTATCATTAGCCCTTTAGTTGCCTTCAGGCTTCACAGAGGGGAAGGAACATCAAAGTGAAAACAAGTCTTCAGGCTTCACAGAGGGGAAGGAACATCAAAGTGAAAAAGGTTAAGAGAGGGGGGGGGGAACAGAAGAGTGTGTCAAAGACGAAGGTAGAAAAGGTAGAAAAAAGGTGAGGTGAGTACTGTAAAGTAGTCGAATATGACATAGAGTGGGGTGATGGTAGTTTAAACAGACACAAAGGTAGAACAAAGGTGAGGTGAGTACTGTGTTACACGAAGGTAGAGAAAAAGGTAAGATGAGTACTGTGGAGGCTTAGAAAAGGTAGGAAAAAGGTGAGGTGAGTACTGTGGAAGATGTCGAATATGACATAGAGTGGGGTGATGGTAGTTTGAAGTCAAGTAGTCGAATTTGACATACAGTGGGGTGATTGTAGTTTGAAGTCATGTCAAATGCCGGTTAATAGACTTTTTTGCCGTATGAGAATGTAGGACATATAGGGGGGTCATGGTAGTTTGAAGTGAGAAGAAAACTGCCGGTTAATAGACTTTTTTGCCGTATGCGGAGAAGTCAACTACCAGTTAATAGACTTTGCCGTTGAAGTCAGAAGTCAACTGCCGGTTAATAGAATTTTTTTGCCGATAGTGAGAAGTCAACTGCCGGTTTATAGACTTTTTTGCCGCTTTGAAGTCAGAAGTCAACTGCCGAATAATAGACTTTTTTAGGGTAGTTTGAAGTGAGAAGTCAACTGCCAGTTAATATAATTTTTTGTGAAGTGAGAAGTCAACTGCCAGTTAATAGACTTTTTTGCCGTATGAGTATACGTTGCCCAGGTTGCACCACGTGGAGGTAGGTCTATCGCACACCCCCAATTTTACCTGAAAGTTGCCAATTGCAGACGATTACCACCTCCATCTTGGCATTTAAAGAGCGGCAAATGGACATAAGCCGAGATGTCGAAACATCAGAGCTCTATTGCGTGACAATTATGTGTATGTTTTTTTCTGCAATTAAAAATTCAGTCTAACCAAACCAACTCTGCTCATTGATTGCAGGCAAGTGGATTAACATTGGTTATCAAGAGTGACAGTTCTGACCCCCAAAAGCTGTTTTATCCCTTGGCCAAAAAGAGGGGTTGAATTCCACCCTGGCAACCATGACAGGAGTCCACTTGACAGTTGTTATCTAGGCGTCGGAAACTAATAAATATTTAATTAGGTACCCACTGACGCGTTAGTGTACCCGCATGTGGTTGAATGGGTTTTTCACGCGTTGTTAGTCATTTCTCGTGAAACAAATCTTGCCAACTTCCTGTCATACCTGAAATTCAAGTTTTATCCTATCAACCAAAGTTTCTTTGTGTTTTTGTGTGCTTAATTCAACCAGAAGAACAAGGAGCTCATTCCTAAGTTCTTTCATAAACACGCTGAGTGCCATATGACCCACCGATGGGATGTTACTGTTTCCATCTGCTGCGAAGCGACTCACGAGTGGGTCGTTTATAAAAATAAAACCGCACATTTTTAAAAGAACCCCAAATGTTTGTATTATTGTATCGTTGTTGATGATACAATATAAAGGTTTGAAATAATGGAAAATGTGTGCAACTCTTTTATTTGAATACCAGAAAAAGCATGTTTATTTTTTTCAATTGGAAGGTTTCAATTTGGAAAAAAATAACCAGAAATTAGAGATCATGATCTGAATTGAAACATGACAAGGGCATAAATGGCTTTCCAGAGCACCCTTCACAAATGGTGGATACTGTTTTTTGTCTTCCTATCAGCAAATTTTGATCATTCTGACTGCGAGATCATTTTATAGCATCCAACACACAGCGCTTTCTCGTCTTGCCTTACGGGCCTGAAGTTTCGCTCAGGTTATGCTCGCAAATAATCTGCGTAATCATCTGTTTCACGAACAATCAATTCAATGTTTGCCTCGGTCAAAAAAAGAGAGCACACAACAATAGGCCAGATTTTCCCTTCATGAAAAGGGTTAGGAGCGATTGACAGTTCTTTCTTTCCAGAAAACGAAAACTTTCTTTCATTTGAAATGACACTAAACCATACACTTTGCACTGCCGGACTATCTATTGCCTTAATTTCATTTTCATTGTTGTCTACATCACTAGTTTCACCAATTAATTCACTTTCATTACTCGATTCATCGCACTCTGTGTCATCGGTACCCTCTGGTGAGAACGTATCATCTGGTGAAATAGAATCCTCACTGTCGTCAAAAAAGGTTCATTACGTGTCTTTCTCCTAGATCCACCATGAGCAATAGATGCTTTCATCATGAACGGTCTGAAAATACAAGAAAGGACGTTGTGAAATCAAAAAAATATCGCAGTAACATGATAAATCCCACACTCTACTGCGAAACGACCAACATGTGGGTCATGAATTTTATTGCATGAACGTGCAGAGCACATCGAGAAATACACACACACACACAACCTCCCACTTTGATATCTCGAGAGGCACGGACTCTGTAGCAACCCAAACGTAATTGCACCAACGGATAGTACTGAAATCGGTTAAATTTGATTGAAAAAGAACAAAAAAGTAACAATTTAGAAAACGTCTATTTTACACCAACGAATCTACTTATCAGACAGGACATTAAACCTTAAGCTCATTCTAGCGCTTAAAGTTCAAATACACACAAAACAGGCTTTAATCTAACAATTACAACAATTGAGTATGACTCGATGAAAGTACGAGTTTTACCTTTTCAAAGATTAACTAACTGTTCTTCTCATATTTCGAGCGACAATATTTTATTCACCTTATGGACGGCATTTAACAGGAAATCGATCAGAAAAAGGGTTTTGATTTAAATTTAAAAGAAATCGAAAATAACCTTAATCGAAAGTTCATGAAAACGTTTTATTTTTTTAATACCATATGAAAACATCTCGGGTTTCCTTTTATGCAATTATTAGAAGAATCGCAATTCAACATGTTAATTTGAGGCGATTAAGTATACCTATTTTAATAAGTGAAAATGAAATTGCTTTTTACAGGTATGTCATTCATGTGGGAAAACTCGAATAGAACAGCAATAATCTTTTGACTATTTTAATAAATTAGGAGAAGAATAAACTGTTTAAATTGACGTTCAGAAGGTTTAACGGACAATAACATTTGTAAATTGAAAAAAATGATAAATAGTTAAGTAAGCACTGGTATATCTAATGAGAAAAATTGCGATTAATCCGAAATATTAATAACTTCATAGATTTCTCTGAGTACCATTACGTAGGAGGAGTTATCAAAGTGGGAATGCAATAAATTAAGATAGTTATCTTTAGAAATGAGCCAACGAATATGGAAAAATAAATGCTCACTATTAAGACGGCAAAGCATTCGAATTGAAATAGTTTCGTCAAAGAACCTTAGAGTAAAGTATTCATCGGATTTAGTTAATAATTAGATGTCTTTGTTTAATGCTATCTAAACGGTTTAGAAGTACAAACCTTAAAATTGGCATTGTTTATATTATTAAGAATAAATGGAATGAATTATAATACGGTTTACTGATCATTTGAAATTCTTCATTATTAGAAGAAAAAGAAATGTTTCGAAGAAATGGGAACTACTGCCCAAATAAATCAACCTAGCAGAAATGATTGCTTTCAAATTGAATTAACAATTTAAACCATTTAAATAATGAGAAAAAATTGTCTGAATCAAAATTCCAAAATGCGCATTTCATTCTCATAAACGCATTCAGAATATTTAAAAGTTACCACCTTCGTGGAATGAAGCCAAGTATGAGAGTACAATAAAGCGATTTCACATTTTCGACTGGATAATAGTTGAAATCAGCTTTCATCTTAAATATATGTGATTCGTATTTTCCTTCAAATGAACTTCAGCACCGGCCTTCGGTGAATACGAAGCAGAAAGCTATCAATCGATATCTCATTTTGATTTAATTAAAAAGATATACGTGAAGATAAATTCAGATGAAGTAAATATTTCAAAAATGATTTCAAAAATTATGTGAATCCATGAACTAAATATCAACAATAGACATATGCGAATTGAACTCACATTTTATTGTAAGTGCCAAAATTGGAGTTCAATAACCAACAAAAATTATTAAATTAAATAAAAAATATTAAATGTGCAAAGTTGCACATTTTGCTATAGTTTACTAGTTGTTTAATGCATAGGCTTAATAAGACATCAATAACGTTTGAATTGTTTAAAGCATTATTTAAATGTCTAAGCGGACAACACAAGTCGGCGTTTTTTTATTAATTCTCGGTGATGGAGAATGTTTTTCTCTCCTTTGCCGGTAATCCCTCCTTTGTTGAAAATGGGAGCTTCCCGGGTAAATACTAATTTTTTATAATTATTTTTAATAATTATTTATATGCGATCATTTTTATTCGAAATGAAACAACCATGAGTGTATTGCTTTGTCTACAAACATGCTTTATTCTTCAAGATTAACTAATCAATCCGTAATTTTTTATATAATTTTAAACTATAAACCTTAATATGATATGAACTCTCAATTCAAATTTTAATTGCTCCTTGCTTATCTATTCATAATTTATTTCCTGTCTATTAATTTACTTTTTTTGATGAGCCTTGATGACCTAGTTTTAATAGAAATATTTATGGACGTTTTTTTTCAGTTTTTAAACTTTTATAAATAGTATATTTTTGTCTAACAAATAGATTAATTTGCTTGACCAACCTCATTACGCTTACAGTTCGTCAGTTGGATCAAGATGTAAATCTACTATGATCGCCAGGTTAGACGCTTTGCTAGAAAAATTTGACTGTCAACTGCCTCAGAATAAAATTGTGCCACTTCCAAACTAAAAAATAGTGGAGTAAATTTGTGAGAGTTAGCGTTGAGTTACTTTGTGCTTGTGTGCTTCAGGTTAGCAGTTGGTAACCTCCATGACAATTGTTTTCTCCTTTGACAATTTTAGTCATGGTCCACAATCATCCCTTTGCACCATGGGGAAGTTTCGCTGCCACAGCTCAGCCTACGGTCACAGTTGCTTCTGCTACTAGCAACATTACCACATCGACTGCCGCTGCGTCGGCCACGGTCGGAAACTCTTTCATGCGATCTGCTCAACCTACAATGGTACAGTCGCAGAACCAATTGCATTATCAACATCAATTTTATCTCCAACAGCACCAACAGTATCTGGCTGCGGCTAGACAACAACAAGCCCAAGCACAGGCTCAGCAAGTACAGCAAACCCAGCAGCAAAGGGTAGCTTTCCCTACCTTTCCTGCTGTAAATCCCACTGTTTCATCTACTTCCTCTCAAAATGATCCTAAATCTCAGCCTTCCTTTCCGCCTCCTCCTCCATCTACATCAAATTCAACTCCTTCCATCTCTTCTACTCCCACAGCTAATGGCACTAGTTCGAAACCCATTTCTACTACGGCAAATCTAGCTTCTTCAAATGTCACAACAAATACCCCTGCGGCTCTGCCACAAATCCCGGAAGACTTGCTCCTTAAACTTGATCCCTCACTGGCTGAACAGAAGCCTTCTGTTGATCCTGCAATCGAGAAACCCTATCAATGTGACCAGTGTTTCAAACGCTATTCAGGAATGAAGTCGTTGAAGAATCACAAGCTAACCCATAGCGATATCCGTCCCCATAAATGCTCCTTCTGTCAGAAGGCTTTTCTTCGAGCGGATAAAATGCGAATGCACGAAATCTCCCATCTAAATGTTAAACCCTTTGAATGTGCTACGTGCAAGCAGAGATTCACCAGGTCGGATAAACTTAAAATTCACCATCGAACTCATACTGGTATTCGACCGTATGCCTGTTCCTATTGTCCGAAACGCTTTACCAGGTCGGATAAGTTAAAAATCCACGAGAGAATTCACACAAAGATCAAACCCTACGAGTGTATTCATTGCGGAAAGTGTTTCGCTCGCTCCGACAAGCGACGATTGCATGAGAAGACGCATTTGTATGGACCTCGACCACGAGCGAATAATGGGGTCAGAAAATCTAAAGCTGCGGCCGCAGCACTTGCTGCTGGTGCTAACAATATTGCGAATAATATTTCTTCATCGTCAATTTCTGTTGTCCCATCTGCAAATCCTCTTCCTGTTTCTGGTTTCGGATTTTTATCAGCTAATCCCGGTGCTGCTACTACTACTCTCTTTGCTGCACAGAACTTCCCTATTGTTGCCATAAATCCGGTGGTTAATGGAACTGCCATTGTTTCTAGTAGTAGTAATACCAACAGCAGCGTTAATCCTTCTCTCTCAGTGTCTTCAATTACCCCTGTAGCATCGACTTGTAATGTAAATAGTAGTACTTCTGCCACGAGTTCGAATACCACTCCTGCAGCAGCGGCTGCGATCACAGCTTATCCTCAATTTGCCCAACAGATGCACTATCCTGTTTTTATGGCTGCCAATCCAGCTACACCCTTTGTCTGTGTCGCTTCCTCCACGGCAACACCAAATCAAGGAAATAACAACACTGTGACGACAAGCACTACTACTACTACTAATTCTACTAACAACAATAGTAGTACGACTGTGACGAATAACATTGCAGCAGTGATGGCAGCCGCGGCACTTGGACGTCAATTTCAGACTTCTCAGGGTACCGCCACTAATGCAGCTCAAAGTATGATGGCCCAGCCTTATGCTCACCATCAGATGCATTTCCAGAATCAGCAGGCTGCAGCTGTCCAACAACAGCAAACTCAGTTATATTATCAGAGGCAACAGCAGCAAACACAGCAGGGAGCAACTGTTACACCTCAGCAGCAGTACGCTTATGCTGCACAGCAGTATCAGCAATATCATCCAGCAGCATATACTACTCAAACACAAAATCAGGAACAACATCATAGCCAGCAACAACAGACGTCCCATCAACAGTATGCCGCTATGCTTCAAGCTCATCAACAAGCTGCTCATATGCGGCAGCATGCGTTTAGCTTCTTCCCCTCGAATAGAAGTAATACTAGTAATGGAGCTCAATTCAGCTTTAGTGGTACCACATCAGAGCAGTCCCAGCAGCAGGCTCAATCGACACAGAATACCTCTACTAATCAGCAAGTTCAACCACAGACTACGCAACAGCACCAACAAATTTTAGCGGCTCAACAGCAATACTTGCAGCAACAACAGCACTACGCCCAACAAATGGCAGTGGTTGCTGCACAACATAGAGCAGCAGCTGTAGTAGCGGCATTCTCAAACACCGTGACGTCAGCAACGTCACAGACGTCGAATACGACGAATAACACGACGTCTACGTCTGTTGCTAATAATTCATCAACAACTGGTTGATCCCATCTCCGCGGCACTGTGTAAGGCTGCAGCCGAAGAGCATTTACACATACTACCTTTATATGAGTTAGTAGGTCGTCAATCTTGCCAGTTGTTAGTGCGTGTGATGTGAAGTGCAATACTAGTGTATATAGCTCGACCTTCTCCCTCCCTCCC